AAAAATATAATCCTTATTTTCAAATATTATCATGTTAAATTTTATTTAAATATTTTAAATAATTAAAAAAGTAGATCTGAGACATATTTATAGTAATTATGCAGGCAAATTTGCCTGCAAATCTCTACCAATTAAGGGATAAGTATGATAACAGTATGTAATGTAACAGATTAAAATAAAATCAGATTAAAATAAAATTTTAATATTTTTTAAGGATGATTTAAAAAATTTTGGGAGACATTTTTTAGAATTAGGGTTAGGGTTAGGGTTTAGTATTAGGTTTATTAAAAAAAGAGTATAAGTGAGTTTTATAAGCTTTAAAGGGGAGTGAGAGAGGCTCTCTGTTTCATTTTAATCTAATTTCATTTTAATCTGTGACATGTAATAATTTGATAATCTTCTGCTTGTTTCTAATTAATTAATTACTAATCTATAAAACCAGATTGTCTAGCTCTACCTTTTAATTTTTTTGCTCTACTTTCTTTGAGACTTGTATTTAGCTACTTAACTTTATACTTGTCAGGTTTATAAAGTAATTTTTTTATTATATAATCCAAATAGTTAGTAATTAATGATATTTTGTTTAGCTAATTTTTAATTTTAAATTAGATAATAATTTCAAAATTACAAATTCTAAATTTAAATTTTGTTAAGTATGCTATTGAAAATTTAATAGCACTGTCTTATAAATTATTAATTGATTGTTTTACTATTCTTCTAAATTTAGATTTATATTTCATATTTAATTCTTATTTATCTGTTAAAAAGAGTGTTTTATATATTTTGTTTAAGTTTTAAAAACTAAAAATATTAATTATTATTTTAGATAAGAATTTGATATAAGTATAAATATTAAAGTCAATACTAAAATTTTATAGATATTTGTTTTAATATATAAATTACTAAAATTAGCAAAATTAATTGATTCAATTTATATTTTTTAAATAAATTTGAAATATTGCATCCTTTTATAAAAAATTACCTTCAAGATTTTTATTCTCTGAAGATAATTAAAAAATATCTTTTATAAATATATTTTCATTATTTTCATTATTGTTATATATAAAAATTTATAATCTAGGCTAGACTGAATTATAAAGTAATATTTATAAATTTTTTTAATTATACCATTGTGCTATTATCTTTTTTGTGAGTATTAATTCAATATCATCTTTGTTTTTTTGCTTTTTCTTTATAAAGGCTTCTAATAATTATATTTTTCTTGCACTTTAGCAATATCAGTACAACTAATTATAATATACTTGTTTTTTTATTTTTTTTCATTATTAAGATAACCTTTTAGCTAGGGTTCTTTATTAGATTATTTATAAATAAAGTGGTATTTCTTGCTTAAAAATATATATATATACAAAAACTATAATAATTTAATATACAGTATATTGGCATTTTTATAAATAAATATATATATTGATTTAATATAGATAAAAATAAGATATTAAGCTTTTAAGATTTTAGTATATTAGTAAAATAGTAGCTACTTTGTTTTTTCATATAATATATACTAAAATAATTTTATCAAATACTTTTAAAAATATATAATTAATTTTTATACAATAGAATTTAGTACACTAAGGCTATATTTTATATACTATATTAGTTAAGTTTTAATTTTTTCTTTAGTAAAAACAATAATATTTTATTGATAATATAGAAACTTTTCTACTTATATTTTTTTGTTAATTTTTATGATAAATTATATAACCCAAAAGAACAATTAACAAAAGTTCTATTTAAATATAAGATCTTATCAATATTAAGTTTTAATTGACTTGTTAATAATATATAATATCTAATTTGGAAGATTTTAAAAAAATTACAACTATGTAAATCTTAATTATAAGGTAATTTTTAAATCTCTATAAAACCATTTCAAGATGAAGAAACTTCATTCACATGTTGTTTGAGATAGCACAATTGAAACTATTTTAATAGCTAAATCTTCTAGGCTTGTCTGGTATTTTATATTATATATTAATAATCATGTCTTTTTTTGAAGACCAAATTCTATATCATAATTACAGTATCAGTATTATTGGTTATATCAGATATTGAAATAAGTAAAAGATTATTACTAAATCATTTGTTTTGATGCCAGCTCTATTTTATAATATAATAATTTAGCTACCATATATATAATTTAATATATAGTAATAGTTTAACCTTTTAACTATAACAATTTTAACATGTTAAAATCCATTTTATCATGTGATAAACCCAAAACATAGCCGAAATAGCAAATTATATACCATGGTAGAAATAATAATCTTCCCTAAATATATATATAATTAATTTAATAAAATTAGATTATCCGGTAGTGATTGGCGCCGTAATCATGTGATGCTAATTGTCACGTGGTAAAATATATAATAATCAACAATCTAATTGTTGATTTTTTATATTGTATCATGTGACAATTAGCATCACATGATTACGGCGCCAATCACTATTATCCAGCAGGTATTATGTAAACAAAGATGAAAAAATTTTACAAATTTTAAATAAAATCAAGTGACAAATTCTTATTGATTTTAATATGGGTGTTGGTAAGAGAAAACCTGTAAATCATTTCACTCATTATCATTACAGTGATATCTACCCCTATAAGAATTAGGGGTACATATCACTATGATGATAATGAAGTAATATAAAATCCTTTCCGTAAGTGTATACGTCATACCTGCCAGATATACTAGTTATCTGGCATGATATACGGATCATGGACATCGATAGTATAAATGCAACGCACGAGCGATTTTATGCAATTCATATAAAACTGCATAAACCGCATAATATTAGTCGACAACGCATAACAGGTTAAATTTGCCGCATAAAATATGGTATAATTAAGTAATTATCGCATAATTGGCTCTAAGTGCTGTTCCAAAAGGCTCCGATTAGAAAATCAATCAACACAAATTACGAGCAAGGTCGAGAAAAAAATTAGAGGTAAGTTCCGAACTATTCCGAAAGAAAGTTTTCATACTAAGGTAGCTATAAAACTTCGCGTTTTATGTCATCTTATGTTCAAGACACTACATAATTATAAATTTTTGGTCACATAATAAAGAAAAAATAAATGTGCATAAATTACTTGCATAATTGATAGTTTATTGCAGCATAAAATTATCGACCCTGCGCACGAGGCATTCGGCCACGTGCTTTTACTATTATCCTGCCGATACCCATGTATCCGTCAAATCATGCCAGATAACAAGAAAATATTAAAACTTTAAACGTAATAAAATCTGAATACATAAAATTTTATTTAACCATTTTGAACTTTAATCACAACTGCAACTCTTAATCTAGTAATTATACAAAACTTAAATTTAATTGCAAACAAAAAAATAGGTGTAAATTTTTTAGCCATTCAAGAATATACGATGTTGATAATAGGTTATGCTTATGAGATGCCGTGAACGAAGCATCCATTTGTCACGAGATCATGTCCCTGACCCAGACCCATGACGTCAAATGAGCGAGGGTAAGTAATGATGGAATCAGGCGAATGATGTATTGATGATGGGTGTCGAGTTTGATAGAATAAGTGATGGCAAGTATGAGGTCATAGTAAATGACTATTTAAGGGTTTTTGGATCGGAAAAGTGGTTCTTCCTCTTGCTGCTAGCTCGACGAAAGTCTAGCTTTGTCGTTAGTACCCACCCACCACCAGGCAGAGAGAGGATTGTGTGTGTGGGGTGTTTGGTAGTTATGGGTATGTCGATAGGCGGGTTGACAACCCGGATATCGAAGATGGGTGCTTTAATAGCCCGACCGAACAGCTCGGTTATCAAAGAAGGAAATAGAATAGACGATGTTAGGAAACAGCTGTTGACCACGTAAGCAGCGAGACGATATCCCATATGTGTATTCCGTAGTATCCGTTTGATGTAATGTTTGATGTATCGTATGGTCGAGTGACAAAATGTAAAGAATCAAATTTTTTTAAATAGATTACGGCGTAAACAGTTGAATGTCCCGTCACTATACACTAGAGATGTAGATAAACCTAGCATACATTTCACATATCGCGTAAATTCGCGCGAGTCATATGATAGGAATTCATTTAAAATAATTTTCATTAAAATTTCTTGATCAATAGCTTACCTCGCATGAGATATGATGCCGATAGCTTAGTCATCTCGCGTGAGTATATCTCTACTATACATACTATTACAACTTTTAAAAAATTTGCTTATATATATGTGAGAGCTTGTTATTTCAGTGAATTGATTTAGGTGGAAAGTAGAGATACAGTATGATAAGCTTTTGGGTAAGTACATAGCGAAAAGGCGTTAGAAAGGTTATAGATAAAATTAAGATTATATTCCAAAAGTGAATACTTTATTGTTATTTGTAGACAGTTTTGTACGAAGTTAAAAATGAGTAATACAGTATATTGATATATAAAATTAAATGATGCGTTTACAAAAAACCTTCATATTTAAAGATGGTTATATTTGATTGTGCGCATCATAGATGTAATTAAACAGTATAAACTATATTTTTACTGGAAAAAAAAAACCAAAAAAAAACAAGAAACCTTATTTAATTTATTTCATAAATGCAACTTTAAATATAATTATACATTCTAAAGTTAAACATTGTTCTATTTATTCTGTAAAACATTTATAAAACTTTTTTGTGATTAAGATATGTTTTATTGATATTAACAGCATTGTAAATAAATTATTTAATACTCATCATATTTACCTTCAAAAATTATTACAATCTTGTTTCTGTATGTACTATAGCAGGGATAAGTATTTTTCGCTTTTTTTCATCATCCAAGTCAATACCTATTAACGGAAATGAGCAAATTTGTAACAAATCTTGACAATCCGAATCTTGATCAAATGTTCCTTTCATCAATTCCGGATTAACTTGATCATTGTGTTCAAACCAACGAGGTGGATCAGCTTCAGGTTCTTGAACTTTTAGTCGGAAAAAGAAAATTCTAATAACATCACGAATAATATTTGCTACCATGCTATTCAATTTTGTTGCTTTGCCAGGATCATTTACTGTTCGAAAGCTATCCATCTTTTCGATAAGTTGTTGTTGAATATCATTAATGAATGGGTGCTCCGTATCTTCAGATAAAATTTTGGAAAATCCGCGGTTTCCAAGAACTGCATAGATTTGCTGACGGAGTTTGACAGGCAATGCTTTGGTTACATCATCATCACCTTCCCGAAAATTAGCAAAATTTTTCATTTTATTTATTAAACTGTTTGCTTCAAATACTATACAAGTTTCGAGTAATCTTTCATTTATATTTTCGCCTTCATTCTTTGTTAATTGAAAATATTCGCGGGTTAATTTTAAGATTGTTTCGAGAACACATCGCTGAAGTGCTGCCTTGAGAAGTGATTTAAAGTTTTCCTCATCCGTGAATTCGGTACATCCATATTGTTGCAAAAGGTTCTTTGCTTCCGTCTCATTAATGTCTATACCAGGTTTGACTATGCAGAAATCTTTTATGTTTTTTTGCAAATATGTAATGTCTTCTCTAAGTTGAACCGAATTGTTACAATCATCATCACTCAGTCGAAAATTTGTTGCTCTACCCAAAGCGGATTGATGCCTTGAGGCCTCATTTTTCAAATCTTCGATAGTTTTATGAAGATTTGATAATTCGTTGTCTCTTGTTTCGAGATCTTTGTCTTTTGCTTCGAGATCTTTACGAACGTTTGATATTTCGTCATCTTTTGTTTCGAGATCTTTACGAAGGCTTGATATATCGTTGTCTCTTGCTTCGAGATCTTTACGAAGGCTTGTTATTTCGTTATCTTTTGCTTCGAGATCTTTACGAAGGCTTGATATTTCGTTGTCTCTTGCCTCGAGATCTTTACGAAGATTTGATATTTCGTTGTCTCTTGCTTCGAGATCTTTACGAACATTTGATATTTCGTTGTCTCTTGTTTCGAGACCGTTACGAAGGTTTGATATTTCGTTGTCTCTTGCTTCAAGATCCTTACGAATATTTGATATTTCATTGTCTCTTACTTCATGATCTTTACGAAGATTTGATATTTCGTTGTCTCTTGCTTCGAGATCCTTACGAATATTTGAAATTTCATTGTCTCTTGTTTCGAGATTTTTACGAATATTTAATATTTCATCATCTTTTGTTTCGAGTTTTCGTTTATGATTTTGTAGTTGTTCACGAGATGAATTTAACTCTTCTTTTAAATCCAGAAAGCTCTTCAGAAAGGTTTTATCATACATATTCATATTCTTTGGATTTTCCTTTAAATTTGCATTATTTATATGTTGATCCATTTGCTTTCTTGATTCGTTAACATTATCATTGAGGTCTTTATTATGCGTGGAAATCGATGTTGCACTTTCTGTAGAAGGTGTATTAAGGTCCAGGCATTCTTCCTTAGATTCGTATCTTTCGATGAAGTCTCCTCCATATATCTCATTACTTTCTATACGTGGAACCAAGTTAAGGAACTATATTAGGTTAATTTTACTTTTTTACATTTTTTACAAATAATTTATTACCATTTTGTTCATTTGGGTGAGAATTGGTATTTTTCTGGCCGAACTTAAAAAATTCTTTAAACATTATATCGGGTTTATGCGTTTATGTTATGAAAGTTCTAAAATATCATTATCGTTATACTTATTGGTTTTTTTTGTTACCTTTGTGCACGGGAAAATTACACAAATAACCAGAAAATCTTGAACATATTTTAGTATCTTGCAGACTTTTTTGGATATTAAATAAAGAATGATTTAATGCAGTTTTGGATATTAAATGGCATCACTTAAAGAATGGTTTAATGCAGCTGTTAGCGGGGAAGAATTTCGATATGACGACCTAAAAGAGCTTGTTCATATTGGTCGTGGAGCTTTTGGAGAAGTTTATTCGGCGAATTGTGTATCTTTTAAAACTACTGTTGCAGTAAAAAAGGTCTTTCAATCCTATCTCGAGAAACAAGACGTCTTTGATGCTTTTATTAAAGAAGTATGCTAAAAATAATAATTTCTTGTAGACTAGGAAGGTTATCGATAAAATTTTCTAATTTTCTATTCCAGCTAAAATTACATATAAAACTTGGTGATAACAACAGGATAATCGATTTTCTTGGCATTAGCAAAGGTTGGCATGTTATTTAAAAACTTTCTAATAATTTAAAGTACTTATTTTCATTAATAAAACATTCTAGACCCAAATGATGAAAGTTACTTAATTGTGATGGAATATGCTGATAGTGGCAGTTTACAACAATTTTAATTAAAGAGAGAGGCAATTTACAATGGACTGAGAAGCTCTCGCTTGCCCAACAGTTAGCCGAAGGAGTGGCCTACATTCATGGCAAAAATATAATACATCGTGATCTTGTATGTTCTTTTATTCTATTCATTGTCGCAGCTGATGCTGAAAACGGCTGATGCTGAAATTTTTTCATATTTTATTATAAAATTATAAAAAATTTTTG